GATGTTCTATTCGAATACTAAACCTCCGATCCTAAATATGTGTTCTAAAAAAATGTTAAAATTTTATAATAGGTTAAAAAATTTCAGCTAGCCAATTTCTGCTTTAGTTACTACATAAATTATAATAGCTTTAACACTCATAAAATGTAAAAATGCAATTTTATACAGAATTATCGACAAAGGATTATACTGCTTCTCAATCTTTTCTGTCTTCAAGATTGGTTTTTCAAAGTACAAATTTACCTCCATCTAATGCTGTTTATGGCCCTAAAGATAATGGCTTTTGGACGGCAAAGAAAGGAAAAACAACTTTCCCGTTTGCTTTCAAGATTCCAATTGATGCCCCAAGTTCTGTGAAATATGGCAATAATGCTAGTTTAAAATACGTTGTGACCGGGTAATATATTTCTTCACATTCTCTTGATAATTTTTGGCTTTTTACACTAAGTATTGAATGATATATAGAGTGGTTCAGTTTATGAACGTTACCAAAGATAACAAGGAAGACACATTATTTAAATCAAAGGAAGCATTTATTGTCGAGGCTTGGGACAGTGACAATCCTCTTTACAAAACACCCGTGGATGCTGTTAATATGAAACAATTATGGATGGGAGGACCTGGTGCTGTTATGATTGAAAGCTCTTTAACTGAAGCTCTATTTCAAAGTGGTGGAAATGTCAACGTCAAAGTTAGGGTAAAAAATGATACGAAAAGACGAGTAAGTTCATTCTTTTTTTTTTTAGAAAAAATTTATTCATTGATATTGTTTACCTAACAAAATGGATTTATGTAGGTTCAAGGAATCAAAGTAGCAATTTTACAGCGACTTCTCATTCTTGCAAATAAATCCAAAAAAGAGATTGATGAAGTTAAAATTGTTGGTGAAACTGTAGCAGAAGAATGGTTCAAAGACAAAGATTTCTGTTTTGATTGTGGCGAAGATCGAACTACAACTGTTCATATTCATGTCCCGGTTAGTTATCGACTTTATTTAATGATCTATTTAATTGGTAATTAATATATTTGATTAATTTTATAGAAAGATGTAAGGTCAATAAGAAATACGGCACTTTTCGAAGTCGTATGCTATGTAGTTGTATCATTGTATTTAGGCCCTTTTACGTATGTATCGTTTTATATTACTGTAAATTGGCGTATACAAGACCTGAGTATAGTACGGTACATGATTGAGCGTTTATATCGTAATAAGGAAAATTCTAAAATGCATACACATTTTGCATTTAAAATAAGGAGTCTAAACTGTTGAAAAAGTTCGCATTTATTTATTAGAAATCCATTAGTTCGTACGTGGGTCTAATTATCTATTATATTGAGGATCTTGTATACGCGTGTACGCACTTTTACGGGGTTATTTTTTTTTATTAAATGGAATCTTATATACATTGCACTTGATTAGGAAAGACCTCACAGTTCACCTACCTGTTAATATTGCACACTCCGCATCATTACAACCTGTACCTTTAGTTGACGCCGATCTTAATGTTTTTCCAAATCACTATAACATGATGGATGAAAATACTGACCTTTTTGTTGAAGATGTGAGGAAAGATGATTCAGAAATTCTTGGAATAGCTACATCACCAATGAATATTCCTTCAAAGAATGGTAGAATTCTTCCCTGGTCAGACGATGATGTGGAAGAAGACAAAAATAATAGCTCATCGCCAAAGGGTTCGGCTATTTCATATATACTTGGATCTGTTAGCCCTAAAGGACTTGGGGCACTGGCTCAATCGCTTCTTGGAAAACAGAAGCAAATATCACCATCTTCACCATCCAAATTGATCGCTAAATCTCAACCATTAGCTCCAGCATCTCCTTATGTATACATTCCAGCAATTGAGCGTGTAAGATATCTTTCATTTACTACTCAAGAACAAGGTGTCATACAAAACAGACCATTTGATGAATCTTCAAAGTCTATTATAAGTGGATTTGGGTACTACGATGGTCCACATGAAAATTCTCCATCAGAATGTGAATTTTTGAATCAATCTTCTCCATCAAAAACCGTTCAAAAATGTCAAACATGGTTAGAGAGTCAACAAAACGATAGTTCTCCTGATTCAATAAGTGTTTTAACTGAAAGCGAACAAATCACTGCACAAGGTGGATCGTCTCCATGGGCCCACATAAACAAAGCACAAGAAATTACTGGTGCTCTACACTCTATGTCACAGACTACTATTCCTTTTGATCAACAAGGAATGTCACCAATTACAATTCCTAAAAAAGATACTATCCTTCCAGAAGATGCATTTCATAGAAACAACAAAACTGTATCGTCACCAAATGGACCTTCTGGTCTAACTTTGTTAATGAGATCACGACCTTCACCATCCGTGCAAGATGATTCATCATCTACAAGCCAATCTTACAATCACATTTCTAAAGGACGTCCTTTACCGGTACCTACATCAATAGAAAGTATTGAAGATGATTATGTTGACGTACAATATGAAGAACCAACGCTAAAATCAGATTATCTCCAAGTTCCCGGGTTTGAGCAAAGTAGACCAAAGACGCCACCGATTACAGCGATGGGAGCTACATTATTTAAATGGGGCACATCATTTATTGGTTATAAAGACAATAAGGACAGTCAAATTTCTAGTGAAAGCAATCCAGTTGCGCAAACAGTCAACATTCCAAGCACGGAGACTCTCATAGAAGAGGAAGCAATTACAGCAAGGCCTCGTCGACCTCTCCCTGCCATTCCTAATAGTGTCATAAAAACCAATGATATTTCAGATATGCCAGATGATAAAAACTCTCATGATATACAAAGTAATTCACAAATAATATTAACAGAAGCTGAGGTTGCACCAGTAACTAGACCACGCCGTAACCTTCCTCCTATACCTCCTAAGGCTGATATCTCTTCACAGACAAAGGAAGCAAAGGATCACGATTTAAAGCCTGAAACTTCTAACATATCTACAGCTAATAATATTTCACTAAATCAAACTACAAGTGTTTCTACAACTATTGAACATGAAGTTACTATACCACAACCAAAGGTTGAATCCAGTGATGTAACCTCTAAACCCGAAAGTCCACCAAAATCTACTAAGCCAATCACAAAAGCATCAATTTTTGCAACACTTGGACAAAAGCCGTTAGGATCATCGACTTCTTCAGCTCAAGTAGCGCTTCCAAAGAAAACACCGATTGTTCCAGAAAAAAAACCTGTTAACATTAGTTCATCAAAACAAACTGGATTTAATGTACCACGTAAACCGGTTAATAGAAACAATCCTTTAGTGGGAGAACAAAACGTAAAATTAAAAAATGATGTAAAAGAAGAAATTAATTTGGAAACTAAGAATATGTCAGAAAATGCAGTAAAAAGTGAAAATGCAGTGAAAAGTGAAAATGTAGTGAAAAGTGAAGTTAATTCAGAGACCAAGAATATTTCAAAACCTGTAGTAATCGATAATACACCATTGATTACTGCAGCACGAAAACCTTTAGATAATGACACACTATCATTCACTATTCCTAAGCCTATTGTTCCTAAACCTATTGTTAATAATAATAGTACACCAATTGTTTCCGATGTTTCCACGAAGCTTATTGATGATATGCCACTAATTCATGCAGCGAAAAGTGCTAATAATGATAATATACCTTCATTACCTTCACTAATTACGAAACCTTTACCTGAAGTTATACCACAGATTGAACATAATGAATCTAAACATATCCTTTCCAATGAGACACAGGATTCAACAAACAAATTAAACGATGATAATAACGAAAGATTATCAAGTTCACCACTAAAAGATTATTCTAAAATAATATCAGAACCAACAACATATATCAATACCACAATAGCAAAACCAATAGTTATAGCAGATGTATTGAATGAAAATAAATTTGATAATAAATTTTTGAGAAAAAAAAGAGGAATGAGAAATGGAAAAGGCGGAGAAAAGGATGAAGGAAGCTTAACAGCAAAAATTATTGAACCGCCAAAACAATCAGTTAGTCCTAGAATACAAGAGTACATATCAAAATATAATCAAGCTACTGGTGGAAAATGAAACTATGAATGGTAAGAAAATGGTTTAATCGTTTTTAAATTTGGTGAAGTTGAAATTTTGTTAATTTCAGCCAAGTTCCAGCATAAGCTGTGACATATACAACTTTAAAAAAAAAGACGTAGTATTTTTATAAATATTACGCGTAAAATATTATGAATGTATATTAAAAATTCACTAATAATTTTCCAAATTTTTGTATTTTTTTTACATTTTTTTATTTACTTTTCTGACACCAAGTCATTATAGTATATTGCTAAAGAAAGTTTAAACGAAATTCTTCCAAAGGAGGGTTTTCCACAGGACAAAAAATTTTGTTTTAAATCTGATATTAGTTCACGATCATGATAATTACGTCATGATATATTAAAAACAATTCAAAATCAAACATGATTTTTAAGATTGCGTTTTAAATCATTGGTAACTTTAGGAAATTTGAAATAATAAGAGATAGTGTGAGAAAGGATTTTAAAGAATTTTATATTGTTGTATAAATTATTTAATACTTTTTGTATAATGTTGTGTTTATTTGTACATTATTGGAATTTATTTTATACATATATGAATTGAAAGAAACGTTTTTTATAATCGATGTTAATTCTTTGAATGAAAACCTTAGCATATATTGCAAAAGAGACTTTTTTATTGTATGCGATCATAATTATCAATTACATCAAAAACTGATACCAAATATAATAATTAATTACTCATCTTTATTGCCTCTATTTTTTTCATTTTAACTATCCCTTTGGCGTAAAACTATATTGAGCAATCATCATGAATGCTTATATACGAAATATCGCCTCTCGCTGTATCGTAAAACGCAAAGAAAGTACTCATATTTTATACTCGCATTATGGCTGGTGTTGGAATTCGTTTACAAGGCTAATACTTGCTGTATAATTTGCCGTAAAACTATAAACCGCATTGCCATCTGACGTTCATAATATCGTATTGCCATAATGCCATAGTAATGCTATGCAATATTGCTGAGATATCTCATGTAGGGTTGGATCGGTTCAGTCTCGGTCCTAATGATTTTAGGTCCCAACAAAATTTTTTCCACCCCTTGTAATAACGACCAATCGAACTTCAGAATCAGGTGTAACGTGATAGTCAAAAAAACGTGTTTTGTTTTCTAAGTAAAAAGTTACGTGCAAAATTAAAGTTAAACCGCGTTATAATTAGGGTTAGGACTAGGATAATATGACGTTTACAACTAAAATTTTACAAGGAACATTTTTCATTAGACCACAGAAGGCGGTTTCCTAATTAAAATTTAGAGCGTCTCGATTTTCATGTTACACCTGATCCTGAAATTCGATTGGTCATTATTATATAAGGGGTGGAAAAAATTTGTCCTAATGGAACCAATCAAATAATCCTATCAATCCAATTTAACAGTTCCCAAAACGGTCTTTCGATTTCCGTCTATATTACAAAGGTTATATTTTTGATACTTTTATTAAATATACATACGTACGTACATCTGCACAAAAAAAATATTTTTAAAATCGCATTAACTTGCTTTGCATTATTGATTGTAATAAAGAGATAAAAAATAATCAAATCTATCTATTATTTATATACAGTCATACCTGGGTTATATCCCCCCCTTTTCCAGAGTATTTTTGGAGATATAACTAAGGTAGGGATATAACTCAATATATAAGATATATAAAAATATATATGAAAAAGGAAATTTATTTTGCTTAAATATGGGATATAACTCAGGTTGGGATATAACAGGGCCCCTGAATACACTTATCAGAACCTCCGCGGTGATAATAGAAAGATATCACATAAGTTAATTAGTACAAAAACCTGAATCCGTACAAGGTTACACTTATGTTCAATAGTACCAAAAATCCAATTCGTACAACGGGTTCGATTAATGTGATATTACTGTATTTAGGGGTCCTGATATAACCCAGTGGAGATATAACTCAGGTATGACTGTACTATTTTCTACACCATATTGGTAAGTTAATTGTTAAGAGAAATGACAAAAATTAGGTGATTTTTTAGAGAGAGGAGTGTAAAAAAAGTTAAAAATATATATTTAAACCTAATTTTATATAGAATTTTATAATATATCATCATAGTAATATATTGCCACCCCTGATCAACCAATTAGAATTCAGGATCAAATGTAATGTGAAATTGAAGCGATTATGGTTTTTTTTAAAAAATTGGCAATAGTATGAAATTTTGCCTATGAAACTTTCTCTTGTGCTCTAACAAAAAAATTCTTCTTGAAATTTTGGATTAGAACCTCTTTATTAAAGTGCCTTATTCTAACTTTAACCTAACTCTCATCTTAACTTTAAAATTAATGAATTAATTTTATTGTTTTAATTTTATATTATACTAGATCTTATAGAGTGTGTTATATCATATATGCAAAAAGATACAAAATTCTTTTATATATATTAAAAAGAAGAAGGAGCAAAAAATTCAAACAACAATTTTTTTTATTGATTCTTTATATACAAATTTACAAGAAAAATATTTTAGCAAAATATACAAATAGCACTAAAAAATCTAGTGTTATATTAACAAATTTTATTAATTAAATTTATTTAGATAATTATATTTTATTAGTTAATTTTATTTTATTTTTTTTATAGTCAAGGTTAGCCTCTTTGGCTTATCGTTTTTATTAGATATTAGGATCATGTGGTGCTCTTGTCAAAGGGTCCCAAACAAGTACATTCTGACGAAGATACATTCTAGCCATATCTGCACCTTTTGAGTGCCTAATTAAGTATAC